TATCTGGTTCAAGCGAGCGGAAGAAAACGACAAAAGAATTCTCACGGGTGGGGATTAGCCCTCAAGCCGATCGACAAGAAGTACTATTTTCAATTGAATGTCGACAGAGCCAAGGCTTAGCAGACGGTCACCAAACTCCCTATTGACCAAATTAGTCCTGGTCTTATTGTATGTGAATATTTGTATAATTTCCCAAAAAATCCTCTAGAAAGTAAATGATGAGAGGATTGATATGTAATTATGTAAGAACTCCTCTGGAAAGAAGTACTATTATATAATTACCCAAATACTCCTCTGGAAAGAAGTACTATTTTGACCCTTATCTCCCAGATCAATTATAATAGATTTTTTCTTAAACAAAATGCTGCTATCACCAAAATACACTGAGAGAGGCAGAAACACAAGTTCTTACCATGCTTGTATTAATGTCAGAAAAAAATATAATATGATCCTCTCTATCCCTAATTCCACTGGTCAGACTCTCACTGTTGATGAGGAGAATACCCAAGATGTTGTTAGTTACTTTCAGAATTTGTTCACAAGAAGGTCAACATCTAGATCTTCCATTGAGACCGCACTCTTCTCTGACTGTTATGAATATGTGCACAGATTAGATATGACTCAAATACCTTTGGAGGATGAAATTAAAATTGCATTAGATTCCATAGATGGGCAGAAGTCTGCTGGTCCTGATGGATTTACCTCAACCTTTTATAAGGTGTCTTGGCTAAAAATCAGTACAGAGATCATTCAGCCTGTTCAGAATATTTTCAATGGTGTTGATCCTCCTAGGTATTTCACTTCTTCCACTATCACTTTGATAAAAAAAAAATCAAACCAGGAAAAACTGCGGAGATTTTAGACCCATCAGCTTATCTAATTTCATCTCTAAATTGATTAGCAAGATTATTGTTCTTAGACTTCAACCACATCTTCAAAACATCATTTATGCTAATCAGGCTGCTTTTGTTAAGGGCAGAAATATCACAGATAATATTTTGTTGGCTCAAGAGCTTTTGCTAGACCTTAACAGACAATGTAGTGGGAACAATGTCATTTTTAAGCTTGATATAAAGAAATCTTATGATAGTATCAATTGGGACTTCATACTAGAAACTTTATTAGCTAGGGGCTTTTTTGTAGACTTCATTAATCTAATTGGAAGACGGCTAAAATGCAATGCCCATTCTGTTCTGATCAATGACAAAAGTCATCGCTTCTTCGCTACCTCCAGGGGAATCAAACAAGGGGGTATCAATTGGGACTTCATACTAGAAAATTTATTAGCTAGGGGCTTCTTTGTAGACTTCATTAATCTAATTGGAAGATGGCTAAAATGCAATGCCCATTCTGTTCTGATCAATGACAAAAGTCATTGCTTCTTCGCTACCTCTAGGAGAATCAAACAAGGGGACCCATTGTCTCTTACTATTTTTATTTTGGCCTTGGATTATTTTTCAAGGCTACTAAATAAGATGTTAATACCTCTCCCCACTTGGCTTATCAACACAGATCCAATATTATGATAAGTCACCTGTCCTATGCTGATGATATCATAATTTTCTCTAATGCATCTAAAACTGCTGTCAAGGCTTTGTATCAAGGCCTTAAACACTTCCAACAAACTTCAGGTACAGATCTAAACCAGCAAAAATGTCAACTTTTCTTTAGTGCTAACACAAAATCTCAGATCAAACACTGGATATCTCAATACACGGGGTTCAGCCTTGCATCTCTCCTTATTAAGTATCTTGAGGTTCAATTACTCAATGGTAAAACCAAGAAATCACAATTCAATGAAGTGATTGATCACATTAAAGCCAAACTCCATTGTTGGACTAATTCCTTCTTATCAAATGGGGGGGGGGGGGGGAATTACCTTACTGAAAAAAGAATTCTGACTGCCATTCCTTTTTATGCACTCCAGATGTTCACAATGAAGAAAGGTACTCAAATGCTCCTAGGTAGAATTTTTAACAAATTTTTGTTGGCTGGACAAAAGAAACAATTCCAATGGCTCTCTTGGCAGAAACTTTGTAAACCTCTCCAAGTTGGGGTTTGGGTTTCAAGGACTCCAAACACCTAAGCTTCATTAATCTCTGCAAGCTATGAATTAAATTCAGGGCCCAAGATTGCCTTTGGGCTAAATATATGATGGGTAAGTACTGCAGGTTTATGCACCCCACTCTTGTTACAAAAAAAAAAAATTGGGGGATTCTAGGATTTGGTCCAAACTGTTGGAAATCAAAAAGCAAGCTGAAGATCTGTTCATCTGGGAACTGGGAGAGGGAAAAGTTATTTTTTAGTTGGATCAATGGTGTGGAATGGGGAGAAGCTTGCTTGTACTAGCCTCAATCCCAATTATCAAAGTCAGGTTAAAGATTAATGGTATGATGACTAGTGGAACTGCATAATGCTGAACACTATACTCACTAGTGATCAGATTAATTTGGTTAAGACCACTTCTTTCTCTACTGATCAGAAGGACAAAACTATTACTAAGCAAGGTTCCTCACAGAAACTTTCTGCATATATTTACCAAAAGTTCTTCCATTGGAACCCAGTTGCTTGGGGTAAAGTCATTTGGGGGAAGCTACTAACACCCTCCATGTCCTTTTTCTTTTGGAGACATTGACATTCATTTCTCCCTTCTGATGATATAATAAAAATGAAGGGACTGAGGGGTCCCTTCTACTGCTATCTGTGCAAAGATGATGAAGAGTCTTTAGAACACCTCTTTTTTATTTGTGTCTTCTCTCAAAGAGTCTGGTCAGGCCTACTTACACAACTTAAGATTGATACTTTTAAAGTGAGCTGGTGGAAATTTTCCATTTGCTAGGGGGACTGGAATGAAGCTAACCTAATGGTTATTCCCTGTTTGGTAGGTTGGTTCATATGAATAAGAAGAAATCAAGCTAAGTATGAAGACCACATTCCTTGGGTCAATTCTGTTCCATTCGGCATTCAATTAAATTTCTTCTAACTAAAAGCTTATTTAATATCATCAATTCCCCAACTTAATTAAGAACTAGATGTCAAGTGTTAAAAGCTCGCAAAGTTTATGGCTTTCTCTAATTTTTTGGTCCCCTCCTCCTCTTAATTGTTTTAAAGTGAATACGGACGGTAGTTACTCCAGGGGTGCTGCAGGATTTGGGGGAGTCCTTAGGAACTCCCAGGGAAAATGTCTGTTATATTTTTCTTCTCTTACTTGGGCTTCTGTGCATTAGAGGCTGAAATGATAGCCATTTATTGGGCTATTAGCTTTGCTTACCATTGCCAAATGGGTCAATTGATAGTAGAATCTGACTCCCTTACTTGTATCAAGATACTGTTGAATGAAGAAGCACCTCCGTGGCATATTCTCAGGTGGAAAAACAAAATGAAGCACTTCTTAAATATCTGCAGGGTGAAGTTCAAACACATTCCTAGAGAGGGAAATGGTCCTACCCATTGGTTGGCTTCCTTGGGGAGGAACACAAAACAAATCTTAGTAGGATCGTCTCCTCCTTCCCACCTTTCTTTTCTACTTCATGAGGATAATTTGACAACACCTCACATTCATGTTGTGTAACAAACACACACACACACACATACATACACACACACACACACACATATATATATATAAGAGCAACTCGTGGCTCCTTACACGTTAATAAAAAAATAAGGGTACAAATAGCGGAGGGAAAGATGATCCCTTCTAAAAGAAATAAAAATACATAAAGTCCTAAGGGTTCCTCCATCCACATTACAACTCTACACAAAAAAAGATGTAAAAGGAACTATAAAGTAACCACTTTCAAAAATACATGTATGAATCCCGACAGAATGTATACCAACTCAATGCAGTATACCCATTATAAACATGTAAAGAAAGTGCAAAAAAAGTTGTGTGAAATGTAAGGATGCAAAATCCTGAATCATTTCTGAAAAACAGTCAAAGTGAGAAAGAGTAGCTTTGTGACCGTCTAAGAGCAACTTCAGCATAGAAAGGATAATGCAGCTTAACACCAAAAGACCAAACTTGTTATGAGAGTTAAAAGTAATAAGGAAGTGAAGCATTAGAACAGTAGTTACATTAGTCCAACAATATATTTCTTTGGATATAATATGAAATCAAGGGATGACATAAATTAGAGTTTCCTGGGAGGAATCACAATAACCAACATGAGCTAATTGCCTCCAATAATAAAACATTTTCAGAGATATAATACCATGGGCCTCAAGATTATAAGCACTAAGCATGGAATCCGACAACTAACAGAAAAATAGGCGGAGGGATCCATTGGCCTTAACCCGCATAAGCTCAATATATCTCCACCAATGTTTCCACCAATACTTCATGACAAGCCACAGAAAATACCACCAGTAATTCCTCCAAAAATTGACTACAAGCCACACAAAATATGCCCAAAATAAGTTGCTTTGAAAGTAATAGTTAGTCAAAGAAACCACGCCCAACTTAGTGTCAGAAATATAACAAATAAAGCACTCCACAATGAAGCTAGCCAATTTGAAGTCCTAAAGTTCCAAATAGTAGCTAACGCCCCAGAGAGAAATCTTCAAAAAACCTTTCATGACAACAACAGTTCTACCACCCAAAATAAGCCCAAGCCACATATAACCTTTCCACCAACATTACATCACAATGCACACCAAATACCACCCATATTTACTCCAATAATTGATCGCAAGCCACAGAAAACAAAATAAGTGGCTCACGGCCCAGAGAGAAGCAAGCCTCATATAAATCATAAAAGCAAAAGTGACACCACCCAATCTATCAATGATGCAAAAGCAAGGATTTTGGATATTGTCTATGAGTTTTCCAGTAAACCATGCAGAAATATCATAAACTGTAAGCTTCCAATTGTCAAATTGTCAAAAAGCTTCCGATAAATAACATCAGAGGCCTCAGAAATGTAAGATGTGTATTTAGGTGCATAAGGCCTTCACACACAACCATGTAAAAGAAATCAGTGAT